AAGTAGGCAGGTGGAAGAAGGTGTGTCTGATTAGTTAATTGGAAACTGCACTGGAATGTGAAGGAGTTGATTAAGGGCGGTGAGTTCTCTGGAGGCATGATGAAACATACAGTACCTTTACTGGCTAATTCATACCTGCTTAGCTTCAGTCTGTTGCAGGTGTGAGTTGCAGAGTGGTATAGTTGTTGACAATATGGCTGACAACATAATATGACATATTATTATGGTGCAGGAGAGGTTCTGTTTATGGAATTCTGTCTCTTTCTTTTTACTTGAGCCTGCCTTTGTATCCTTTTTAACTTAAAAAAATGAAAATAAATTTTTAAAAATCAGTAACAGAGCCACACCAGTATTATATATGTATAGAACTGTTTGGTTCACAAAAATAGAGAAACGTGTCATGTTGGGGAAGTGTGTGTGTTTTCTTTTATGTGCGATTGGTTAAAGAAAAGAACATTTTGGTTTGCTAGTAATGTGGTTACTATTTACAATGTGTCTATGTCATAAAATGCTATTTTGGCATTGCTGGCCCTGGTCCAAATTCGGAAGGGGAATCATATAGTCGGATTTTAGTTAGTAACAGCATAATGTTGCTTGAGTAATATTTCTAATTTAATTAGTCCCGAGTCCTGGGTTGGAAGAGGAAAACCACCCTATGGCCTTGAGGGTGAAAGAGTCTATAGGGTGTGACAAATTAAAAAAAAAAAATTAACATGCTTTCGTGAAGCAAAATGCTGGCAATGCTGTATATAATAGTTACTTTTTTCCAAAATTAAATGACAAATGTTTGCTCAAAATAAGGATTTTAAACCAAAGATAAGGAGTATAGATATTAAAACTCTTTTCTGTTAAATTTTCAGAATGTGTGTAATATGTGTGTCTCAGACTGTATAGTTAAATGGGGAGCTATAGAAGTCCTTCAATATTAAAACAATTAGTGAGAGCTCTTATGGCAGGTCAGAACCCGACAATGGGCTTTGTCTCATACAGTAGGTGCATTATTCAATTTTAGCAGCATCATCCTTGAGTGTGGTTGAGCTCTGTCTGATACAACCATGCGTATGTAATTCAATACCTCCCAGTCATCTGCTCAGAGGCATCAAACTACGATTTTATTGGACTTTGCAATACTAACTAAAAAACAATTAACCATTTCTTATCATGTTTGCATTAGCAGATGCATCAGCCGAAACGTTGTGTTTCTTTTCTTCTCTTTTCAGCATGGAATAAACCTTTACTTGTTCCTTTGCTGACTATGCATGCTGATGCAGCTACCTACTTAAGCTTCTTGGGTTATTTTATTGCTGGATTTTTTCAAAATATTAACAAACATGTTATAGTACACTAATTGAATATTTTTCCTAAACCTCTGATTCATTGTTTTCCAACTTAATAAATTCAATTTCATGCCAGTTTTTTTCAGTCCCATGTCTGCTTCTGCACATGTGAGACCATTCTTATTAAGCATTCAAAGGAGATCCAGTTATTGCCACTTGAACTTCTCATATTTAGTTTTGCACTTCCCAATTTGGAGAGCTTTCAGAATGAGATGGGAGAGAGATAGAGCCACAGGTAGAGAGAAAGGGAGATGAGGAGAGTATCAGAATGCAAGGAGAACTAATATACTACATCCTGTGCAGGCTGTTTAGGATATGAAGTGAATCTTCTTCAGGATTTATGACATGGTACTGCATATGGCAACATAGACACCTAGCAGAGTACACCAGCCCAAGATCTGGGGTTACTAAACAATTCCAAGAATCTCCAAAATATTAATTAGCACTGTATTGACTTTGCCTACAGGGCTCTTAAATGGAGGAATGATCTCCAAAACATGTAAGAGTTACCCCAATGGTCTTAGCTTTGAAATCAAGGAAAACATCAAGACCTATATCTTTTCTCTCTGCTTTCTGAGCCTGTAGTCTATTAGGGCTGCCAATGTTCTGCGTGTGTTACATAATTTTGGGACAGTACTTCAAACTGCGGTCTTCTGTCAAAAAAACCTTACTACCTTTACCATCGTTTTGTGTTCCCATTGCCTGGATCATGGTACTGGGTTCTGATGCTAAACAGGCATCTTCTGATGATCTGTGACATCATGACCTGGAGTGTCAAACCCAAGATGGCAGACTCAGGGAACCTCAGTTACTTTAATCAGATACCCAGGACAGCAGGATCTCAACCCTTGATGTTGCAGTAATTGTAATCATTTCACCACAAACACATTTGTCACGATCGTAAGCCCCTCCTCTTAAGGACGCTCCAGCCCTTTCTTGTTTATTTTGGATTTTCTGCACCGGCCTCTGGTTCCAGCCCCCCTTCCTACAAAAGCCCGACGATCCTACCAATCTGGGCTCATCTTCGGAAGATGGACGTCCGGAAGCCCGCCTACCAGACAGTCCACGAGTGGCTCGACAGCATAGGCTTCACAACGGTGTCCTGACCATCTGGGTCCAGGACTGGGACTGCCTGGCCCCGTTACCCCTTTTTATTACCCAGACCCTTCGCCGGATCCCACTCCGGCTTTTAATTTCTGTCGAGTCTGTCAAGGATGGATTACCCGGCTCTGGACTTTTGATCAACCATGGATTTTCTTACGGATTCCCTTCAAACTTGTTTGCCTTGGCCACGCCCCCCCCGAGCACAGCGCACCGTTGACACGCCCCCCATGTTCTTCTTCCAGCCCTGATCCTAGTCTGCTTTCCCCGTGTTTGTCTCACTCCCCTCCGGAATCTGCCGTCTGCATAGGGTCCTGAAAAACGCTTCGTGACACATTGCATGGAGTGGGTGGAAACCATTGTAACTGGATCCCCAGAGGTATATTTTCTGCCACTGGGGGGTTTATTTGCCTCTTTTCAGTGCCCACATGGTCAGCTGTTGCTGTACAATATGCAACTGTTAAACAATTCCGGAAAGGGCTCTGCGCCAAACTGTTTTGAAGGGCACTTGTTTGATATGGATGGGAATTGTTTTGAATGAAGCTTCAAAACAAAAACTGTCATAACTCCTAAGCGCTAGACAGTGTAATGAAACAACATACAAAAACATGTTAGCTAAATAAAAGTTCTCATAAATGCAGTAGTAACACTGTTACAGAGTTGCTTCTGTAGAAAGTCCTTAATGTTTCTTACCAAAATTTTAATCTGACTTCTCTCTACTTACTGTAGCTTTTAGCTTTTGGTTGAAATCATGCATTATAAACCATGTCAAATAATTGCATGTAATGTCATTTGACTAGATTATTGTAGAGGGTTATGCAAGTTATAATATCATGTTCTGTAATGTTAATGAAGGATATATGATGCTGATTGTTAGCTTCATTCAAGTAAAGCTTTACCAAAATACCGCCTGGCTCTCTGTGCCTGGCTTCAAATCAGAATTTTACCTTGAGATCTTTATGGATGACCTCAACAGAAGAAATTGTTTGTCAGCTCCTGCTTATTCCATCTTGACTTTTGGCCTTTGCTCTGTGTCCTCACTAAACGGTAGTGACCCCCAATATTTGCTCCTTTCTGTAGATAGCTGACGTACAACTGAGTCACCCATCTCAGATGCTGAATTTCAAACAGAGCACCCTGAACAGCTCATTGTACTCTTACAGTCTCTGCAGCAGCTAGGGAATTTCTGATGGATTACACAATGTGCACTAGATGTCTATTACATTATATTGTCTATTAAATAAGACATTATCTAATACCCCATACTGTACCCAATATGTTTATATATCTCTATCATAGACAGTTATATAAAGTTGAAGTGAGTATATTCCCTGTGTGTTCCTGTCATAGCAGACCACCTCCTGGCGGTGACCTGCAGGATGTCACCATGGTGAGGAAGCTTAAGGACTTGTGACATGATGCTGTCAAAAAGTTGCCCAGAGGGTTCATGGGAGTTGTAGTTCCTTTAAGTAATGCAGCAGACTGGTGCTCTCCTCCTCAATCATGGTTGCAGCCAGTTTCTGAAACCACGATTGATGTTAAGCCATACTCCCAGTACTAGTACTGTAGATACTGCCTATTATGGGGCAGCATTAAGACAGGGTTACAGGCTCATACATTTGAAAACCAATTTCAATAGTATTTCATGGTAAGATGTCTGGATGTTTATACAAACCACCTAATTTTAAATTTTAAAATTTTGATGGTGACTTATGAAAATATGCTGATGATGTGGCCTTGCTTGACCTTCTGCAGGAAACAGAAAGGCTAGACCAAGCACTTTACTTTGACAAAGAATTAGCTCTTATTAATTGGTACCACTTGGAAATAAATGCACTTTAGAAATAGATGTCAAGAAAATGGTATATTGCAAATAGTGCTACACTCAGGCAGGTCTAAACCAGTCAAACTCCAATTTATAAATATAAAAGGTTTTGTGGAGCTTGTGGAGACTGTCCCCTGAGTTAAGTATTAGGGTATATACTTTGATAGCATTTCTTAGACAACACAGAGTCTTAAAAAAGCCATGCAGAGATTAATTCTCTTGAAGGTTGAGGAGCTTTGATGGAAGCAAACACATCCTAGAACTGGGGCTACACAAGTCTGGTAGACAGTGGGCTTTATTTTTACACTTCCACTTGGTATGGGAGTCTTGGTGTCAGAGGTAGAGCTAAGATCTCAAGGATTAAAATCATTGGGAGCAAAACACACCCACTACACTTTCTGTTTGGAAAATTACCATTAAATTGTTATGTTTACTGTACTGTATGTGTTGCATTGATTATATATGGAAAGCCGATTGGATTTCAGTGGATTTTTTATGTATTCTTCATTTTGTTGTCTCAGTGAGGCCAAAGTAAAATTACCACTGTAAGCGGACAATAAAGTCAATTCTGAAAGTACAATTCTTTAGAAGAAATTAACACATCCATTTAACAAATATAATCGATGCATTCTGTATAAGTATATACTGTACATACATTTATAATCAATTACAGTATAAACCCAAAGCTAAAATGTGGCCCCAAGCCAGCATAAGACTGATGTAAGAAACCATTTGGCTATGTGTTTGAATGTTTTTTTATTTAGACTTACAAACGCAAATGTAATCTGTATTCATAAAACAAATTGCAAGTCCTTGGCCAGTTTAAAACTGAGTTTGTATATTTTATTCCATAAACAAAGTGAATTCGTTTCAAACACTCAAATACATTTTAGGAAGGTATGTACAGTACCTTGTCAGTAGGATTGTACAAATTAAAAGACACTATTCTCAATAGACACACTAGAAACCCTAGACAAAAGAGAAACCCTACAAATGTCAATCTAGTTTCAGTTTCATTCTGAAAGTCAGCATCTTATCAGTTGATTCTCTTAATAAGAAAGAATACGTCAAAATATTTCACCATCAAAAAGTAAAGGCAATCAAAATATATGGACAGGTTGACACAGGTTTGAGGAGGGAGCATAAAGGTTCTCAATATTGCTTACAGTAAATAAAATAAAGCGAGCTCAAAACAATGTACAGTATACCAGTAGTATAATAATGCATTTTTTCTCCATAGCCCTATGAAAATCCATCAGCCATTTCTCAATAGGAAAATTGAGTATTGAAATAATGGAGACATTGAACAATTTTTCGGCTTTGGTGCAGTATCTTATGGGTTTAGATTGTACCAGGATCTCTTTACTCTTTTAGGTGAGTCTCGGCGTCTTTCTGTCTGGGAAAAAAAGCAAAATTGTCAACATTGTACAACACCAGGGCTAGACTGGAAGAGTTTTATTTACCACAGCGCATGCTTATAGATACATTAATGTAAAACAGCACACTCAGTGGTGTTACAAACAGTGGTGTGAGGTGAGGTTGTTTTCCTCTTTCCACTGCATATTCATAACGGAATTCTCCTTTTTTTCTTTACGTGAATGACAAGGAATCTCATGTGGATGCCATTGGAGAAACCCTCAAAAATGAATGAGATCTCTACAGGCCAGGAATAGCGTGGAAACCCTACATGCTGGGAAGCAGAAGGGCAGAAACAAAAACAGTTTCAAATGTCATTGTTTCAAATGTCGGGTCAGATACTGTAAATCCTTTGTCTGCAAGTGTACAGTATATGTAATTAAAGAGGATTAGCTTCAGGTACAGATGCAGCCATTCAAAATGCACGGTACAAACCCGTACCACACGCAACTACCCACAAGCCACCGCAGTCCAACACGTTAAGTGATTGGCTGGCCAAAATGACCAACAGGGGCACTCAAGTTGCATTGGTCAGTATTGAAAAGATTTAATCATTTAATCTCTTTCCTGTGCACGTTTTAATCTGATTAGTATTGAATATTTATATGGAATTTTTACCACTAAAGGGAAATTTTAGTAGCTGAGCATAAAAAGAAGAGGAGTATAACGCATCTGAAGGTAATTAATTTAGGAACATAAACATATTACTGTATGTTAACTGTACTGTACTGTACCTCTGGTTCAGTAGGAAAGCACAGAATCTAGCAGCATAACACTAGAACACTAGGAATTTCTTGGTGGGACGCTGCCCTCATCATCGGGACCTTAAAAAATAAAAAAAAATAAAGTATATTTCTAAAATTCAATGTAAGGTCATAAATGCTACATACATTATCAGACAATACTGTGTTTTTGCAATAATACATCATAATTGTAGCTTTCCATTTAACTTTATAATGATACTGTTTATCTAGCTGCCATTTGATATTTTGCGTAAATTAAAAGGAAGTTCTTTGGTGAAGTGTGGGAGGGATAGCAACATTCCTGACGTTCACTATCTCACACAAATCTCTCTTTTTCTGCATTTTTATTTCATGCATCCATCTCCACCTTGCAGCTCCCCTTTGCTTAACTCTCTGAATGGGGGTGGAGCCTCCTTTTTCTCCTCCTTAACCAAGCAGGTTTGACCAAAACCTATTATAAATTCAGCCATTTTCTAACTGCTTAAACCTGGTGAGGGTCATGGTGGTAATGGGCTGAGCTGGGCAGAACAGACTTCCCTTTCCCCAGTAACAGTCTCCAGCTCCAACTGGGGGATTCCCAGGCGCTGGGAGTCCCCCAGTTGGGATGGAATGGAATGCAATGGAATGGGAATGGAATCATCCCATTTTCTAACTGCTTAATCCTGGTGAGGGTCATGGTGGTAATGGGTGAGCTGGGCAGAAGAGTCCCAGTAACAGTCTCCAGCTCCAACTGGGGGATTCCCAGATGCTTCCAGGCTAACCGAGAGATATAATCCCTCCAGCGTGTCCTGGGTCAGCCCCAGGGTCTCTTCTCAGTGGGTCTCACCAGATGCCCGAACATCCTCAGCTGGCTCCTCTCGAACCAGAGGGGCAGCGACTCTACTCCAAGGTCCTCCCGGATTGCCGAGCTCCTCATCCTGTCATATAGAGTAAGCCGAGCAGCCCAACGGAGAAACCTCATTTCCTCCGCTTGTAACCCGCAATCTCGTTCTTACTGTCACTACCCGAAGCTTATGACCATAGGCGAGGACGGGGACATAGATGGACCACAAAGCTAAGAGTTTCATCCAAAAACTCAACTCCTGCTTCTTCACCACCAGTACCAGAATGGTCCAGAGTCACATTACTGCAGGCGCTGTACCAACCCACTGGTCAATCTCAGGATCCCCTCTACCCTCACTAGAGACCTCGAGGTATTTAAACTCCTCCACTTGGGGCAGCTGTTCTCCCTCACCTGGAGAGAGCCAGACAGTCTTTCCCAGGAGAGAACCATGATCTCAGATTTAGAGGTGTTGAATCTCATCCCGACCTCGTCGCACTCAGTTGCAAACCTTTCCAGTGGGCACTTATTATGCACAAATACGCAACATAAATTCTTAAAGTATTTGATTTTTGGATGTCGTGATTCCTTGGAACATATTGTTGGTTCCGAATGAATTCTTTGACCATATGCTGCAACTGGCGTGCACATCACTGGACTGTGCCATTCTATTCGATTGGCTCCCTTCATAATGTGCAGGTGATTTTCTTCATTTGCTCTGTAGATAAGATGCCGTCTTCAATACTCCACAACAAATCAAGAGATGTAAAAGATCCCAACCATCCAACTTCTACCCCCTGCGCTCTGACAAATGGTAAAACGCCATTGAAGCACAGACCACCAGGCCTAAGAACAGCTTCTACCCTACTGCAGCGTGCATTCTTAACAGCTAACTGCAATGCCTCAGACTCAATGCACCTTTGCACTATGCACATTCTGCATGGACTGCCATGTTTTTTTCACTACAACATATTTTTTGTTCTCCAATGGTTGTATTATTTATTATGTTTTTAATGTACTGTCTACTGTGTATGTCCTGAGAGATCAGTGCGAATAAGAATTCCAATGTACATGTGCATATGGCAATAAACTTCTCTACTATTCCATTCAGTATTCAGTAAACTTATTTAAAAGCTTGTCTTTGCAGAATGAGGGCTACTGTACTTGAAAGTATTTTTTAGTTTAACTTACCGGGAGTACCATGAGTACTTTCTGTACTGTGGATTGGTCTGTCTAGTGGATCTACTTGATCACTTGAATCTAATAAAGGAGAAACGACTCAGTAATCCATCAGCTTTTAAAACTTTTTAAAGTAAAACTGTTTGCTTGGTGGGATCTGTCAACACATTTTTCTAAAATCCCAGTTACGAAGACTAATGAAAGCAAAATTTGAGTTACTGTTCATAGTCTTTCTTAATTTGTTTTTCAGTATCTGGATTCAGGTACAATATCTTTCCCATGTAGAGTAAGGAGCAGATTGAAGTGAGAGTGAAATATTCATGTAGTACATCACCCATTTATCTTTTGTCTCTCAGAAGTGCCCTGTTTTTATCTGAGAATAATTTGACTTCATCCTCTCCTGTTGTTTTTCAATGGTAAGATTGAAAACTCTTCCCATCTCTCTGTTGAGCTTTTAAATCTTTTGTTTTCTTTGCCTTGGCTTGCGTGTGATTAGATTTCTTTCTTTTCTCTCCTAGATCCGGTTTTTAAATTCATTTTAGTAGCTTTACAATGATGCTACAGACCCCCCCAACCAGTTGTGAAGAATTAAAAGGTCTTTTAAAAGGCAGGTTTCATCTTACCTTGGGAATTAATGTCACTGGTTTATTTCACAGTCTCTTACAAAATTAATGACGTACTTTTGACGTACAAATCTGTTACACACGGTGTCGCATATACAGTGGAAAAACACTAGTGTCCATAACATTTCTCAATGTTGAACTATTATAATGCTATAATTAACAACACCTTCTCAGTTAACCATTTTTGTGTGACCTTCTAATCTGATAGTATTAGATACAGTGTGTACTTTGTATGATTCTCTTTAGTCTTGTCCATTTCCTAAGTATTTATTATACATTTTTAGACAACTTTTCTGGCTTGGAAATCAACCAGGTTTTCAGTATTCATATAACTAAATAATCATATAGATTATGTAGATAATTCGTTTTGTTGTACAGTATCTACAGTATAATTACCACCCTGTATATACCCAGTCTTTGGAGAGGTAAGGCATTTGGTTGGTTTTGTAATGGTTTTTATTGCTTTGTCATTTTGCTACATTTTATAATGTAATACTTAAGAAATAAATTACATATATGTCATATATTTGTTGCAGTCTGAGGAAGGGCCTTCCAAAAGAGCATTTCAAAATGCACTGTGATTTCTCGTGTCCCCACACAAATTTGAACAACTGTTTTATTTTTATTTTAACCTAAAAACATCTTATCCTAACATGCCACTTGAAATACTGTATCTGTAAAAAATAGGAATCAATTCAACTAACCAGTAGAGTCTGTCTCCTTGCTGGCAGATTCTGTGTCATCTGAAACAAAAGGTGCATGACCTGAAATGACCTGAAAAGATCTCATAACATCTCATTCTTTCACAAAAACGTGTTTTTTTATATATTTCATGTCACTTGGCCACTTTAAATACCTCATGATTTAGGGATAAGCTTAACAGAATGTTTTTTGGCATGATTGTTTAATGTTAATTTTTTTGTCATACAAATTTGTTTGTTGATCAAGTACCTTTTGATTCAGTCTCGGAGGTGTCTTCATCCTTGTCATCGTCTAAAGACAGCACAGAGAAAAATGCAATATGAACCGTTTATCAATCGCCTTTACACACAAACCAAAAACATTTCCCACATCCCACCTAAAATACCAACCACCTAAAATAAAGTATTTTCTGTGTAGAAATTAATTTCTTAACAATGGGTGCACATGACATCTTTATGAAATAGAAAATAAACTTTCATTTCTATAACATTGTATTTTTAGCAGTGAGTTTATTTTGTGATGAGTGGTCTGACCAGTTTGCACTCATTGCTGTTCCTGGCTGGCCTATGGAGTAGCTGGAAATGAGAAATTTTAGAAACTCAGGAACCTGGATGGAAAAAGGGATATACACTGCAAATAATATACTGTTAATTCAAAGGACTGTGAGGTATTTTTGTATTTCTGTGGGTATTCATGTGGGATGTGTACAGCAATTGATATTAATTCAAAGGACTATGGGAGATTTGGGGATTTTTGTAAGTATTCGTGTCTTTGTAATAGCCGTTACATTTTAATAACTTCCCAGATTCCCAGATCAGTTTGGGAAAACCTGAGTGTGGCAATATCATAATGCTAAGGTTAAACTGTAATGCAACAGGGTAACATCTGTGTTTCTTTTATAAATGACAGCTTCAGAATGTTTTATCTTGTGAGCAACCCTGCCAGTATATTCTACTCTACAATGGATCATATAAATAATTTGCAGTACATTGTAATCTTGGCTTGCTTAAACAGAGGATTACCAATGTTTTTTGGAACTAAATAATTTCCTCATCACTCTCAGACAGGCAAGGTTGATACGTTATAGAAAATAAAGAAGAATTGTGGATTTCTACTCTTCAAACCTTAGGGTTTATATCAGGAATCTGAGTAACAGGTTATGTAACAACAGATATTTGCAATAGCTAATATGTATGTTTGAATGAAGTTTGTTATAATTGCCTCGCATACGTTCCCTCCTGGTGCTCCAGTTTCCTCCCAGAATTCAAAGACATACAGTACTGGTAGGCTCATTGGCTCCTGGGAAAATTAGCCCTGGTGTGAGTATTTGTGTCTGTGTGTGTGTTTCTGAGTGTGTGTGTTTCACCCATCCAGGGTGTATTCTGTTTTATGCTCCTTGCATGCTGGAAGAGGCTGACACCCCCCTGACCTTAAACTGGATGAAGTGGGTAGAAAATGGATGGAGTAATTAAAAGTGATTTTGCTCATTCACATACTCTGTGAGTTCATTGTTCTGATAAAAAGCAACTATTCAACTATCACCTTTTTGTCTTTCACCGACATACAAGGGTTTTATACTGTATACGACAGTGTGTAGGAGTTTCTCTTCCCTTTATGATTCGTTCATGAAGTTTATAGGATTAAATTTATCAATATATTTTGAAGATGAAGAATACTTGAATTGGGTCCCCTGTGGTTTTGACTAAGACTAAAACAATTCAATTTCTTTAGCCTGTCAGAGTAGGACATTCCTTTAATCCCAGGCTTGTACTCAGTTGCCACTTTCTAATCTCAGTTTTACTTGTGTATAAAGGTCTTCAAATATTTACAATATTCTAAATTAGACCTTACTAGTGTATTGAACTATTTCATTTAATTACACTTTTTTACCTTTGATTTAAATTCTGCTTTCACTGTTTCAGGTAATATATCCTAGCATTCAGGTTGCCTTTTTTTTGTTTTCTTACATTGTTTAGACTAGATTGATCTGCTTGCTGCTTTAAGCATTTCTTTGTGCTCTCAATTCTGGGTTTCTAAAATACCCTAAAAAATAAATACAATTGTGGCACATTATAGCACTTCTGTATATGCTTTTTCAATTTTCTAATTTTGATTTTGCACCATGGTTTCTCATTAAATAGCTCTAATTTGGTTCGTTATCTTAAATGAACAGACACAGATGGGAATTACATTATATTTTATAACTATTCCAGAATCTAGACAATCTGAGGACTGTCCTTGTCCTCAGTGGACTCACTGTCTTTATCGTGGCCGTGGTGATTGTCCTTGTCCTCACTCGACTCGCTGTCTTTATCATGGCTGCTGGAACTGTCCTTGTCTTCACTGGACTCGCTGTCTTTATCATGGCTGTGGGAACTGTCCTTCTCCTGACTCGACTTGCTGTCTTTATCATGGCTGCTGGAACTGTCCTTGTCCTCACTGGACTCACTGTCTTTATCGTGGCTGTGGTGACTGTCCTTGTCCTCACTGGACTCACTCTCTTTATCATGGCTGCTGGAACTGTCCTTGTCTTCACTGGACTCACTGTCTTTATCATGGCTGTGGGAACTGTCCTTCTCCTGACTGGACTCGCTGTTTTTATCATGGCTGCTGGAACTGTTCTTCTTCTGGGTCAACTCGCTGTCTTTATCGTGGCTGCTGGAACTGTCCTCCTGACTCGACTCGCTGTGTTTATCGTGGCCGTGG